GTATGGTAAATAGCTATGAGGTTTTTTTATTGTTTAAAAAAATATCTCGGGACTGAAACCTGTGTATCTTTTCAACTTGGTATGATGAAGAACACAAGCCAAAATGATGCTGTTGGTGAGCAGCTATTATGTTGGAACTATAATTATACTACGTAAGTGAAAGGTTGTTTTATACCACAGACCGAGGATATTGCCTAAGATTCATACAGTCTGATACTTCTTAATTGAAATGAGTTCATTTAATGCAAAGCTTTCTGCAGTGTGGGTAACCCATTTTGTGGGGTAATGGTATTTGGTTTAGGTAGTTTTCTGTGTTGCTTGTTCAACATCTTTTGAGATGGTGTACAATATTCCATTTAGGATTTTTCAAAATTTATAGTAAGAACTGTTGGATCTCTTCAGAAAACGTGGGAATCAGACTGAATCAAGGTTAATGGCTGTTTGTAGAAGGTGAAGCCTCCAGGGTAATACAGAAGGTGAATAGGTCACAGTGTTCAAGAGCAGCTCTATTTGATTTTCAATTATAGTCTAGAAGGATAAGTTATACAACCAGGAATGAAACCTGGAGCTAGCTTTGTTTCATAACACTTGACTGTTCAGATTTTTTTTTGTTATTAATAAAAGATACCCCAACAAAGACATTGATATCCTGTACATCCAGTGTTAGAATTAGAAACAGTCACATTAAAACTGAATTAATTTTTGGCTTCTCCAGAGAAGCCTCACTGATTTGTTGGGTTTGTCCTGGCTGTATGAAATCTTTCATTGTGGTGAAAAGCAGTTTGTAAAGAGATGATATTATTATTATTATTATTATTATTATTACTATTATTTCAAGCCTCCATGAGCACACATTTGCACTAAAAGACCATTTCTGAACCACAAGGTCCCTCATTTTGCTTTTCTCGGCAAATTAGTCCAGAAAGATCTTTGATAGATTTCACGGCTCTTTAATTATTTTTTTTTTCCTTAAATTGTACTGGAGCCAGCATCCTGAGTAGATGCAAGTTTGCTGTGAAATTTATACTCTTTTTACTCCTTTTATTATTTTAATTTTTTTTTAACAGTTACTCAGTTCTTACGGGTCTGCACAATATAGTCCAACTGAATCATTTATATTTTAGTGCATAGAAGTTTGTCATGCTTAACTTGTGCTACTTACCTTTTTTTTTTTCCCTATAGGTATATTCGGATTGTTGGGACCCACAACACAGTGAACAAAGTTTTCCATATTGTGGCATTTGAATGCATGTTCACGAACAAAACCTTTACTCTTGAGAAAGGTCTGATAGGTAAGAGAGAAAACTGTTTTCCTTCTACATGAACTGTTGCAAACGCCTGCCTTTTAAGACTGGCCGTCACTGCGCTCTTACTCTACTGTTTCCACACAGAAAGCTCTAACTTGAGTTAAATGATGCTGTAAGCATAGAATTAGTTGGCTAGTCCATGCGACTTCTTTGAAATTCCAGTTCTGTGGATTAATTAGTGATGCTGCAGGAATGCTAAAGTTCAAGTTAAATCAGCTGCTGCTGACAAAGCCACTGGTAATTGAGTCACTCTGTGCTGCTAATCTGATTTTTCTTTGCATGTCATAGCAGGAGGCCAGAGCAACCATACTAGGTTAGCCTGAATTCTGTGACGAGGGTGGAGTAACCAAAGCTATTTAGTGCAGTGAAGATGGATTTGGGCATTTAGGGCCTCTTATACAGCCTAGTTTCAACAGCTGAAAGTAAACTCTCATGTGTTGATTTTCCCCTAAAGAGTCATAGACACACTTAGCCATGGCAGAACGTTATATTGGCTACCCTTTTTCTCAGAATGCCACGTTGATGGAGCTCTGTTACCTCTGGAACTCTGGACAGCTTATATAATACTGATTTAAGTACCTCTACATAGTACTGCATTACTTAAGGTAGAAATCCCCAACAGACCAACAATACTGAATGATAAACTATATCAAAGTAAGATTTAATATCGATTTTTTTTTAATAGTCCAAGCAGGGTGATTTCTGTGCTTTCTTCCATATAAACTCAGGCAAGTAAGATCCTGAAATTCATTGGGAAGAGTTTTGTGCACCTTTTAGTACTTGTCTAGGTGGGATTTCCCACAGTTCGTTACTTCTGGCATGAAATTGAGAATTTCAACAAAATTCTCAGAGTTCATGCTGACTTCAAACATATATTTAAATCCTAAGTATGCACCTACAGTAGATGGAAGGGAAAACAGCTTACAAAAAAGAATGAGAGCAAAGATTTTAGTCAGACATACTTTTTTTTTTTTTTCTGAGAAAACTATCATATTTAGCTGTGAAAAACTGGGACCCAACTCCTTCAGCCCATTCCCCATGTGTTATACAAAGGCATCGCATGATTACACCTGGTCTTATGAGGTTTGCTGCGTAAATTTCATGATGTTTTTTAGAAGCATAGAATAAGTAGCCTGATAAATCACACTTTACTAATTTTTATGTTATATAGCCCCAAAGTGGACAAGCTGTCCCATAATGCAAATAGAAAGTTTTCCCTTTGTTTTAGGGAGTTTGCAAGTAGTATTGCAATTGCTATTGACAAGAAAATAGAACAAGCAGTAAGGAAGAACTGTGTTTAAAGAAAACATCTACCTTCAGTAAGCTAGTTAGGGGAGAAACAAAATATTTCAAGTTTGATAAAACCTTTGAGCTAAATTTCATATTTAGCACTGCCAGCTATGAACTTTTAAAAACTTCATACAAAATCAGAGTTACTGTGTTCAAATAAGTGATGCATATATCTATATATATTTGATTTAAGATTATTAGTCTTATTTATCAAATACTTAATTTAGGACTCAAATAACATATTTGCTTTCTTTTTTTTCTGTGTGATAACTCAAAGATTGTTTGGTCGTAACAGTAGGGTAACAGGTAGTGAATCCATGTATGTTCATGGAAGTGTACTTGTACCATAATTGACTTGTCTTTCAAATACTCTGTGACATTTTGTGGTTTAGTGAGCATTTTGGTGAGATGAACTATTTGATCTGTTTCAGCATTTCGTGAGTTTCAAAGATAATGTAGGGGACAGAGACTTTATATGGCTTTATTAAAATTTATCTGTTTATGAAATTTTTTTTTGTAGTTACAGAATCTTACAGGTAAATAGGGTTTAGACTACATAAGAGTAAGTTTCCATTGTCGTTCATGGTGATCAGTGGAACTATGCTGTCATTTAGTGTGGGTAAATCAAGCTGTTGTACGTGTAAGTCATTTGAAGTGATCTACAATAAGCAAAGAGAGGCCTGTAGAGCTTTTTATATTGAAGGGATGGTAGTCAATACAGTTAATAGAAAATTAAAAGAGTAAGAATTCAGTGAGTAGTTAATTGAAAGAGGGATGTGGACCAACTTCCACATCGTAAATGAGGCAGCAACATGACCTTGCAGAATTTGTGGTGAGAGAGGGACAAATGGAAAGATTTTGGGACTAGTTGAGGGCAGTCCCGTTGTGAAATGGTGCTGGGGCACAAAAGCTGTTCCACCAGAATTTATGGCCATCAACATTACCTATTCAAAAATACTCTCAACAGCTTTGATCCAGCAAAGTGACCTTATATCCATTTAGTGCTTTGTTTTACATACCTGTGATGGTTACTGTAAGGTACAATCTGGCTCCCTTGATCAAGCAGACTGTCCCAGTTCCACTTCTGTAAAAAGATCTGTGTGACTATCAATGGGGTAGTTGGCACAGATTTATTTTATTGCTCTGATGAGGATTTGTAATGTTTGTTTCTATTTCTGCAGAGACCAGATAGGGTAAAGTGAACTGAAAGCAGTTAGGGAAGCTCCACAAAATACATGAAAGTGCAGTAATCAGAGTAGGTTGCTTTTAAGATTGACTGAGCACAGAAGCTTTCATCCTCAACGCTTGAAAAGCAGTATTGGGTAATACTATTGGGTTCATTATTTATGCAGTATGGTATTAAATATGGTGTTAAATTAGGTTAGAGCAAAACCAGCTGCTGTTTCTATAACCCGTTTTATTAAGAAAACAAAATGTTGGTCAGCCCTTGAAGGCTATATGGTTCTTTCAGAAAGACTTTGTGACCCTTACTTCTACCAAAACAACTCTAAAGATAATACGCAAAGAGTTTGTCATTTGAAACCTCATTCCAAAGAAATAAGGCCACTGAGGTATTTGTTTAGAGATCTTATGTGGAGATTTAAGAGTAATTATTTATTACATTTTCGTGAAACCTATTAGGCTTGATCAGAAAGCTGAATATACAAAGAGGGTAATTTATCAGATATATAATTACTGATGTGTAGTATCTATGGAATGGCTGTCACTGTAAAGTGAAGATTAGAAGGCTGGTAAACAATAAAAATGAAGCGCTGTTTCATGATAACAGCAATTTTATGTTGCTGTGTTTTTGCATACAAGGTTTTCATGACAAATTATTAACTTGACATATTACATGTAAAAGTTAATATGGAAGATGATTTATACAGTTACTTGATACAATACTGGATGCGGTACTGACATGACCCATTGGTAGTTGAGTAGCAGTTTTGAAGTAAAAGTAGCAAGAATTGCTCTTTCTAGCGCTGTCTGGTGTTGTAGTGTTGGTTTACACTTTGTTGTCTCGTGAAATGAGGTAAGTGACAGAAATTAATTCAATCATATGAAATTTTTCCCTAACGCAGATGTTAGGGTTGAGATATAATTTTCCTTTTGGCATAGTATTGTCTCTAAATGTGTCAGTAAGTTAACAGTTCTACATATTAGAATCACAAGATTGACATAACTGTTTCATTAACAGAGATGTAAATATTTTTAAATCTCAAAAGCATAGTGTTTGCTTTTAATGAACTTCCACTTCTGAAATTTTGAATGCTCTTTAGTCATTAATATTTAGTCTAGAATCCGAAACAAATGGAAATTTTCACAAGCAAGAGAACTCCTTTGGAGGCAGAAGGGGTACCTGGTGTGATGTGATGTTTCGTAAAAGCTTCTAATCTGCCCAGTGGCAAGAAGCTGCAACAGTGGATAAGGGGCTGCTTCTATGCAATGCCTCTTTTGGTTTGGGGTTTTTCTTCCCACCTAAATATAGGAAGCAATTCTTCTTTTCTGCCTCAAAGGGAAAAAATTGATAACCTCGCTTACTCCTTTAATCAGTACTCAGTGCTGAGGGGCAGTCAAGGACTATCAGACATGTGGGTTTGACCAGCCTACCGTCCTACTTTGAGCCTGGTTAAGGTCATAGGGAGTGCAATGTAGAAGGCTTTTATATGAAGTTGTGTTTATCTGTAGTCTGTCTCAGTCTATCAGACTATCTTGTAACTTGTACGTTACACAAGAAAGGGAGAACAGTGAATAATGACTGAAGAGCAGGGGATGGATATAAAACACTGGAATGTCCTTGGTTACCCTCTGGGGAATGCTGTTCAGTACTTACGAATCATTGTGAAGCTTCGTTTGCGTGCTGTTCAATGCTTTAGGAGAACTTGTTTTAAAAGGGAAAAAATGAATAAATAATCATTCATTTGTCTTTTACTCACTGGCAGTTATTGGAGAAAAAAAAAAATGTATAACAGAGATAAACCATTCATATCAGTTTCCTAGTGTGTGGTTCAGGTTTGTAAGAGATAGCTCTCTCTCTCTCCAAGCAGTGAGATGCTATTTTTGTGTCTGGTTTAATGTTGACTCCACACAAAGCTATCGTATTTTGTTTCTTCTCTTTTTTTAAAGGTTAGCCTTCTTTCAAAACCATGCAGGTTTACCCAGCAATGTAAGTCAGCCCTGCTGTAAGCATAGCCTTAGGAAACTATGAAAATTTGAAGATAGTCTAAACACAGCAGGGATTTTTTTTTTTCCTCTTTCTACAGGAAAGGACAGCCACATGGTTGGTTTAATTACTGCTACCCATTCTTCAACAGAGACCTGTTCATGTGGTTCCAGTTACTTTTTTTTTTCTTTTTCTTTTCTTCCTATTTCCAGTGCAGCAACGAAAGATGCATACATCTTAGGGCTCTTCTGAAACAATTGCTATTTCTGAAAGCCTTCTTCAGGCAGAATGTTTACTGAAAGAGCCCTGTAGCCAGCCAATTGGTTGGCAATTAAAAGTATGGCGAGTTCTAATGACTTGAATGCTTTTGTTATAATTTATTGGATCAGAAATCATGAGCTCTAGCAGATATCAACTGAAAAATCATCCTTCTCTGAAGTTATTCTAATCCAAACTGGCAGTTGGACATTGACAAATATTAGTGGGGTTTTCTTCTCCAGCTAAATATGGCTTGCAGAAAGCTTTTCAC